TTAAAGTAAAATACAATGCTGATGGTTCAATTGAGAGACATAAAGCTAGACTTGTTGCTCAAGGTTTTTCGCAAAGATTTGGGGTGGATTACGATGAAACATTCTCCCCAGTAGTGCGTTTTGAATCGATACGGACTGTTATTGCGTTATCTGTTCAAAGAGGATTAAAGTTGCATCAGATGGATGTAACCGCTGCTTTTCTAAATGGAGAATTAGAAGATGAAGTGTATATGAAACAGCCCGAAGGTTTTGAAGTTAAAGGGAAGGAACATCTGGTTTGTAAGCTAAACAAGAGTCTGTATGGGTTAAAGCAATCTTCCAGATGTTGGAATTCTGTATTGGATGAGCATTTAAAACCGATCGGTTTTACTCAAACGGAAAGTGATCCCTGTATTTATGTGAAAGAAGAGGACGGTGATATTTTTGTTGTTGCTATTCACGTTGATGATATCATCCTTGCAGGTAAAACTGATGAGAAAATTGCCAAAGTCAAAGAAAGCATTGCAGAAAGATTCCAAGTAAAAGATATGCGTGAGCTCAAATATATTCTTGGTCTACAAGTGATTCAAGAGGATGGTAAGGTGTGGATTAGTCAACCTACCTACACGGCGAGCATCATAAAGAAGTATGGTATGGAAAATTGTAAGCCAGTTGAAACTCCTGTTGATTTAAGTTCAAAGCTTGTTAGTGCTATGGAAGACAGTGAACGTACTGTTCAACAAAGAAGAGTATCAGTCAGCAGTTGGGAGTTTGTTGTATTTATCATCGGCAACACGACCTGACATAACATTTGCAGTTAACAATGTTGCTAAGTTTTCTGCAAATCCTACGAATGAACATTGGACTGCTGTAAAACGAATTTTCCGATACCTGAAAGGAACTGTGAACTATGGACTACTTTACTCAGAGAATGCTAATCCAGATTGTGTTGGATTTTCAGATGCGGACTGGGCAGGTGATTTAAATGACCGGAAATCGACTTCTGGTTATACATTTCAAATAAATGGTGCTGCTGTTAGCTGGCGAAGCAAAAAGCAAACTTGTGTAGCATTATCAACAGCTGAAGCTGAATACGTTGCTTTATCTGCAGCTGCTCAAGAGGCATTGTGGATGCGACAATTGTTGACAGATCTTAATGTAAACATTGATGAACCAATGACCATTTACGAGGACAATCAGTCAGCTATTGCTATGTCCAAGAACCCACAATTTCATGGACGATCTAAACACATAGACATCAAATATCATTTTGTACGAGATCAAGTAGAAAAGAAAACATTAACTGTTCTTTACTGTCCAACAGGTAGCATGTTAGCTGATTTATTCACGAAGGGTATTCCAAAGGAACAATTTAAGAAACTGCGTGAACTAACAGGTGTTGCAATAAAACCTAAGTAGGTAGATAAACATTCGAACTGCGAATGAGAAGGAGTGTTGAATTAGTTGATATTACGTCATGCATTCTGATTCGAACGTTTGGTGTATCCATTTTAGTGCCTCGTGTAATTGTTCGTTGCAGTTCTTGTTCAAGTTGTATCTCGATATATTTTACTCATTAAATGTTCATATTTTATCACAAAAATGTGACTGTTCGAATAAATATTCAAATCCAATAGGTACTATATAAAGAATTATAGTTATCTGAAGGCTTAAAATTTGTCTACTTGTAAAATTGAAATATGAATGGGTTTTTATAGTTTCTATTTAACGCTATATTCCCTTTTCACGAGATAGTGCAATGCTAGTCCCATATACATATATTAACCATGCACTGATATAAAACCTATTAAACCTGTACAGCATATATTTCAGTATTTTAGAACACTAACCGTATTTCACCACCCTATCTCTTTCCCACTTTAAAGTTTCACTGTATATAATTTGGTTTCTTTCACATTCTTGCATTTCTTTATTAATTAAAATGCAATTTTATTTTGAAACAGTTTCACAAAATATGTGCTCACCCATGATTGTAACCTGAAGTTCAGGCCCTAATACCATGATTGCAACTATCTAAATTCTAAAATTTCCTCTGAAATTCCTTTAACATTTCCTTACTATAGACAATCACCAGAGGACAATCACATGTATTATCACGGAATTTTAAAGGAATTCCTTAAGAATTCCCAAGGAATTCTTGAAGTTTATGAAATCAATTTAATATTTTAATTTGTAAACAATACAACGATACTAAAGTATATGTCCCATGTGAGAATATCTGAATTTAGAAAATGATGTTACTGTAAATTAATGAGAAAGAGTTGCTGTTATACAGTGTGAAGATAAAGATATTCATCCGAATTCCAAGTATGATTATATAAACAATTAAATTAATTTGTAAAACAGGTAAATAGATTTCTCTTATTTTATTCATGTATACATGGTCAGTGATGGTCTGCTAGTAAAGAAAAACAGCTAGTTGCCAAAGACTCAGAACAATGTTTGAGCTGAACATATTATGATCTAGCCATTGGAATGATTCTCCAGATCGATTCACAAGGGGCATGGGGTATATTTCATGATTTGCTACCTGAATTGTCCACATGGTTTACAAGCACATACTGGATATAAATATTAGTTATACAGTATCAAATGTAGATGCCCAAAAATTAAATCCTGAAAATTTAATAGACTGTACATATACTTTTTGAGATATGTAATAAGAGGATGTTTATATGGGGGGCGAGGCTGGATGCCCGGGGTTAGGGGCTACAGACTTAAGGTCACTTTTCCTGAGGCAAGATCTCGGGCTAAAGGGGTGGGATCTCACTTGGCTATAGCTGGGCCCGCTCTTTACCCATATATACACAAGGTGAACTTTTAATAGTAAGAAATAACAACAAAGGCAGGATCTTGCCAAAACTGGGCCAGCTTGGGTACCCTGGGGTTGGCTTGCAGTTGCACCATTTAAACAGCTCCTATATATAGGCAATATATATTTTGTCTGGTCATTGGAGTCTTTGGAGATTTTGTGTGTAAATGAATATAAAAATGACCCTTTACAGGTGGGTTGAGGGGGGTGTTTCTGTCAACATTTTGGAAAGCAATAATATTTTATTAAAAAATTAGAATAATCACATATTAAACCCTGATGGTAGTATATATTGTATTGTGTGTGATTAAAGTAAGGGTTTTTTTTTACCCCACCTCTGCATGCAAGAATTTTTTGGCCACCCCACCTAAAGCAAGTATTATTTTTCAGTTACCCCACCATTTTCTCTTCGGCCCCCACCCCTGCCATAAATAATGACCGGTCCCTTACTAAAAATAACCCGGTCCGCAATCCGCAATCCGCGTTTCCCCGTAACCGTAAATTGTACCGTGTGGCGTGGCGAATAAATATTTTAAAAACGTTTCGCCTACGGGTAAAGTGCTGCTCTTATTATTTACATAATGTCAAGCATTCTGCGTGAACTACATACTAGTATGTTCAAAATATCGATGATATTTAAAATTTATTCAATAATTTTATATACTAAACTCTGTGGAGTGGTAAAAGCTCGATCAGTCGAGCGTGCACTTTATACATAAATTACTTACTGATGGACAATATAACTCAACGAAATTACAATCAAAACTAGTTGTGAACTAAACTCATTACCATGATAATAAATCTTAGGCATTAATATGTAAAAATAACGAAAATATACGTACTTTTCTTCTAATAACTTGGATGTGAATACGTTGCTTTGTTGTTGCAAAAATTCCCGGTTTTTTGCACTGGAAACGTCATGTTCTATTTATGAAATACGTGACCACGTGCGTTAAGCTATTTGACAAAACATGCTATTTGACAAAACATGCCATTTGACAAAACATGCCATTTGACAAAACATGCTATTTGACAAAACATGCCATTTGACAAAACATGCCATTTGACAAAACATGCCATTTGACAAAACATGCCATTTGACAAAACATGCCATTTGACAAAACATGCCATTTGACAAAACATGCCATTTGACAAAACATGCTATTTGACAAAACATGCCATTTGACAAAACATGCTATTTGACAAAACATGCCATTTGACAAAACATGCTATTTGACAAAACATGCCATTTGACAAAACATGCTATTTGACAAAACATGCCATTTGACAAAACATGCTATTT